CGGTAATAAATTGCTTCTAAGCTTGCACAGGTAACCGAAAAATACATTGTACCAGCTAATAGCAAGCGATCAAAAAAAGAACACTCAATTGTCGATGTTAGGATGCGCAAAAGAACATTATTAAAATCGCACTAACATGTGAAAATATCAAATCAAAATTAAGGTGTAACTTTTTTTTGAGATTAAAAAAAACGATAACATTTTGTTATTGATTAATATCTATTTTTTATCAGTTCGTCAAACCTTCACACATAAAAAAATTTTAAATTTATTTTAAAGAATATATTTCTGATCTTGCAACAATATACTGGCCATTCTGTTATTAATATTCAATTATCATAGTATCTTAGCATAGGTCGTTTTATACGTGTTACTGAGAAGATATAGGGAGATGAACGGATTGGAGCAAAATGCGTAAAAGGTCAAAAGGACAAAATGTAACCAATATCGTTGACACAATGATTCGTAAGTACTATCGATCTGGCGCGAGGTAGGAAAAGTCAAATAAACCGAGTCTCTTCTTTGTAGTCTGTGGCGTTCTATGGAGATGCCTAAGCTGGCATAATCGACCCCCTACGAAGAATGTTCGGCCTTCAAAAACAGAGAAGGAACGCGGCCGACGGTGGCGCATGGTTCATAGCGGGCCATTTAACGGTCTTTGCGAAATTGAGTCATCACGCGGTTCCCCTGGAATCTCGAATATTTTCCTCCCGATGCTTCAGCTTCTCCGTACCCCCTACTACAGACTCTTGCACATCTCTCCTCCCTCTTACGTTACTATCCGACGAAGGTAGCATACTCTCATAGATTCTCGTCGTCACGATCTCGTAACTTCCTGTGGAAGATTTGCAGCGGAAGCGAGCGGATTTCGAATTTCCGTAACCGAGAAAACGCAAATTTGGGGACGCGCCCGCGAGAGGTTGCCCGAATTCTTTTGCCCACGTACTGTATATTCCTCTCATAACTTCTGCATGCGAGAAATGATAGAAACATGAAGTATCCATTACGTATTTTTGATTCATAAAATATTACGAAATTTAATTAAAATATATTTACGTATATGTGAATTATTTTTATTTTATATCTAAAGGGAAGTCTTGTTCTTTTTTTTCCAATTTATAATTCTTCGTTCAATCAATTATTAATAATTCGAATGATATCTGCCAGTATGACAGAAATGGTACATGCGCTTGCTGTTTGTTTGTTACAAGGAATATTGGACTGGAAAATATATTTCACCTGTGTATTCTGTATTTTTAGCTTTTGTAGGAATCACTATGGTCACGATCGACTCGTCAGCGCTGCAAGAGGACATTGATTGCACATTTATATTACAAACAACGTCTGCATCCTTGAGCGAATTTCTGCGGCAACAATATTCGTTTGCACAATTTGTAGAGTTCCGGACGAAGACGAATGTCCGTAATTTATGACTTGCGATTTGCAATGCAAAAAAGAGTAGCGGATGGAGATTCGGCGTTGTCGTTTCATTTCGTCTCCTCGACGTTCGTGTTTATCCTCGACATATTGCGTCGCTCCCTCGCTCAGGTAACGATGAATCATTTAGCGAGCCGTGTTCGCCACTACTGACTCTTAATCGAGTCTTTCCGTAGGAAGCAAGACGGTAATCTCTCTCCGAAACTTTCCGCGAAACTTGAAGATTTATCGGGGAAATAATTTATTTGCTCTACGGCAAGAACGACGGACGGTTGTGTCGCGTCGTGCCAGGATGTTGCGATTTTCATCCCTCTCTGCTCCCCGCCAAAGTGCTTTGATAGTCAATATGAATCTGCAATTAATTCCGTGTCAGCAGCATGCGGGTTTAAAAGAGAAATATTTGATTTAACATTCCTGTAATCCCTGAAATGATGCAAATATTCATTCTCTCAATATCTGCGTAATTAATATGTAATTTCAAACTTTTACAACTCGACGTTCAAAATAGATGATGTAAAACGTGTGATTGTTAATCGAACACGTATCTACGAAAACAGAATTCAAATCCGTTGCGATATCAAAGTCACAACTTCCCACGCTGTCGTTAGAATTCCAGACGTTCGGCTCGTCACGCGTTTATCCATTGGGATCGAAGTACCTCGGCGTGATTCTGCTTACCGTACGGTTAAATGTTATTTCAATTACGACACGTTTGATGTCGTCTGGCGCCGGTTTTACGGTCACCGATGACCGTAAAACCTTAACGGCTGTGAAATCTAAGCGGCGATAAGGTGGCGCGTAGAAACGCCGTTTACACGGTCCAATCGGCCGGAAATCAATTCATCGAAGAACTCCCCCGCGCTCGACCACAACGACAACTCCTTTGTTTTGTCGAACGGTTACGTTGCATTTGTCATCACATATTGACCATTCAATGAAGTGTTCAATGCGTAGCGTGGTAGCGGTTAACATAATAGCAATTCTCTCTACGGCACACGGCTGAACTCCGGTCCGAGAAGAGAATGGCTTGGAAGAAGAGTTTTTCCGGCTTTTGTTTGTTGGAGAGGATTCTGCTTTAAAACGTTGTATATTTTATGAAAATAGCTAGGAGATTAAACAATTTCGATAATCTAATATTTATAATATTTTCACGAATGCACGTAAAAATGCAAAACTATCGGAATTTGAGCTATTGTAAATTTAGAAAGCGATAAATTGTCCACGTGAATAATCTTTTGATACTGCTTTTTCAAACAAGTATACATAGAAAATTAAAATCAATGCCCATACAATAATTCGTCGAAATTTAATAATGCATTTCATTGAAAAATCTGCATCTCTTTTTCTTTTCCCTCACACTTTCAACATCAGCGCTCTACGCTAACGATAGTCGCACATTTGGAAATTATTCTTCATATTCTACATTGAGTTTTTGATCGGCGCAGTTTGATGCTATATTTTTCATTGCTTCCGATCAACAGAAAAACAAAACATTCCATATTGTTGTATAAAAAAAAAAAAAAAAAACGGAATGGAGCGCGCAAATGGAATATTCGTGTTGTTAAATCCGGAGGCCGTTGGATTTTCATCGTACGCGATGAAACCTGAATACGTCCCCGTGCATTCGAATTGATTCTCGGTTCTTTTCACCGTTTCGAAATCGGTCGTCTCTCGTTATCGGCAGTTTCGAGCGGTTTATATTCACGTGTAACTGCGCGAATCGAGTGAAAGCATTCGCTCTCTTTCTCGTTTCGTCTCACGGGACGTTTCTCCCGCCTCTTTCCCGTTTCACTTCCCGCCCGCTTCGGCTCATTACGATTTATTATGCTCGTTATCAACTCGAGTCGCGCGTTACCCGTCCGCGTAATTTCGCGTGGATATCCGCTGGATTGAGTCGCCAAACGACGCTTCAGATCGCCGTCCCGTACTCGCTTCCACGTGCGCTCCCGCGTTAATTAGAATTTATGACGAGTACACTTTATCACCCGCTAAATTTAGCCACGAGTTTTGCGCGAAAATCGTTTCCGCGCGCGCGACACTGAAATTGCGCTTTTTCGCGCGATTACAGTAAATCGCTCGCCAATTAGCGCCATCCATGATATCGAGATAATCTGCATTATCTGCCACAGTGGTGAATTGTGTGTACAGGTTAATTATTGTTTAAATATTCACACTGCATAATTACTTTTAATTGTTCACAGTTATTTAAAAAGTCATTTTTAAATCACTATAAACAGACATAAAAATCAATATTTATATAGATGTTTATGTAGATTTGTTTCTGTAATTTAAGATTTTATATTTTTCTTAAATCACTTTTTTATTATAATATATAAATATTTTGCGAAAAATTAAAGAGATAATGTTATAAATATAAATAAAAGATTTAAACAAGATATTAGTGTGTACACTGTGTTAAATCTATAGTGTCAAATTTAACTTAACGTGAGTCGCCATTGCTCCTACTCAATCATATCGTTATTTTATACTAAAACAATGGTTATATTTGACACTATACAGTGTCAAATTGACACGATATAGTGTCAAATTTAACTATCGTTTTGGTAAAAAATAACGATATATTTAGTAGGAGCAGTGGCAACTCATATTAGGTTAAATCTGACCCTATAGATTTAGCAGTGTGTATTACATAAATTACTCCAACCACAGAGTGATAATTTTGAATTATCTGATAGATAGACTATTGACTGATTGTAATGTATACAAAGATAGTAATGTATGCAAACAGCCATGAAATATCGATCTTATATTTTTTTTAGATGACAATAAAATCCTTGAAAAATCATGGATAAGACCTAATAAAGACAAGATAAATTGCGCGTCCCACAAGCTAGTTTAAAATGCAATCGCTTGAATTAAATACGTCGACGTATTTAATTTAGCTCTATCGTAAAGCGCATTTTATCTGGCGCTTCTGCGAGGCAGCTCTCAAAGCCTATTTCGAGCGGTTTGCTCGAGGGTTTGTTTGAATCCGTCCGGTCTGCTTCTCGTCAATTCTAGAAGGAATTCTCGTATTCGAGGCTCGCGAGAATGCAATCTTCAACACGGAACTTTCATTTCCCAGGACCGATTCTGACGCTTCTGCGGATATCGCAATTGTTTGTTTCTATTTTCGACATGGAAATCAGAATTTATGTGAAGTGTCCAGATTTTTCTTGAAACTACCTGAAAGAATGAGAAGCGAAAGAAAAACAAGCTTAAAGGAGAGTTTGAAGAGATCGCGTTCTGCAAAGTCTCACTTAATTCTACGAGTCTTTAATTGCCATTAATAACATAGGAAGAGTGATTTTATTAAATATTTCGAGTCGTTTATTTCAACCTTTAAAGCAATATCTGAAATATAAATATATGCATGAAGCTACATTTATCTTGAATTAATATTTGGTGAATCATAATGAAATTATTAATAGGATGAATATTACTTGACCTAAATGCATCTGATTGTATATCTGGTTACGTGATTTCTTTTTTTATGAACAATATTTAGTACGGTTTATTGATAAAGAATACTGATTTATATGCACATAATTCGCTGGTTGCAGGTCGCAACGAGCTGATCGCCCGTTATATCAAATTGAGGACCGGTAAGACGAGAACGCGAAAACAAGTATCCTCGCACATACAGGTTCTCGCGAGAAGAAAACTTCGGGAAATACAGGCAAAACTCAAAGTGGTGAGTATATATTTTATCTTTCAGTCGTGCACTTATTTTTACATCTATCGTTTTTTTTTAACCTTTTTCAATCACACCGAGCCTACCCATCGACGTTGTGCGTCTCGATCGCGTTTCTTGCCTCTTTCGTGGAGGGACAACCAACAAATTCATTCGAAATGATATAAATTTTGTTTATTTGAATAAATACGACGTATTGTGACTACTAAAATAAACTGCAACAGCGGTTTAACATGACACATTATTATAATAATGAAATGCGAAATAAACACGATTGTACGATTATTCATTTAACAATATTGCAGTACTTGATGACACGCCGTGTCATTTGATAATATATTGAATAAAATGTTGTGCGTGTCGTATAAATTCGATACTTGGCACGTGGAATTGATATTTGAATCTCATGTGCGATGAATTTTTATTTCTCTTTGAATTGTGTAGCTTATATATTGAAAATTCGATAGTCAAATTCATTGAGACAAAGTGATAATTGCATAATTATGTATTTAAAAAATTTTATTTTTTATATTTATTAAATAATGTATTTTTTTTAAACATCTTTTATATTATTATTTATTAAATGATATTTTATTCATGAAATGGAACTAAGAATTTTACTGAAAGAAAACAGTTAACTTACAGATTGTGTCTTTAATTTTTGTTATTTCTTTAAAAATTTTAAAGACGAAAAAGATATTTGAAGAAACACGTCTATGTATGGAAGAAAATTAATTTTATCATATAATAGTGTCGATATAAAAATATTCTTTCCCGTAATGTGCATCATTTCCTCTTTTTTTGTTTTAATAAATTTATTAAATTTTAATAAATATAATAAATATAATTATTTAATAAATATAATAAATATAATTATTTAATAAATATAATTATTAATAATACATGAAATCTCTCGATACGAATTAAAATTTTGCATGTAAAAGATTTCTTTACTAAACAACATTTTTCACAAACAATCGAATGCTCGATCGAAACGTTCAGCGTTGAGATAATCAGAATTCTGTTGTATTCGCGTTTTGCACAATGTTGTCTCGGTGAGTAGTAGTGATGATATTAAATCGCGATTGGCGATGTGTGAGCATTAGCGGGCGATGACCGTTGTGGAATCATTTTCAACGAGAGGGAGAAATACATATATCAAGGGACACACATATCGAGAGAAGCAGTGCGCGGGATAAATCACGCGTAAAAATGAACCTTGCCCGTTTAATCAACAGCTGAATTATTAAAGCGATTCGTGAACAATTGCGTGCCGGTTAATAAATCAAAGCAGGGCGGTACAATCGGTGGTGCCTCCATTTCGCCGATGGGCGGTGAAATAACGGGAGACAGAAGACATGAAAGAGAGAGAGAAAAACAGAAAGGAGAGGGAGAGGAGAGAGAGAGAGAAAGACAAAGAGAAAGAGAAATAGAGTATTGTTTATACTGGATCGGTCAATATTCGGAATAGAAAAGAGTGGAAAAACAAGCAGAGCGTGTAAATTAACCGTGCGATTGCATGCAGCACTCCGGCAAAACTCTCGTTCGAAGAAAAAAAACTGCCATTTAATCGACAACGATAAACCGAAAATTTTTTTCGGATATTTCGCGCAATCTAAACGTTATTACTAAACAGTCGGATGATGAAATATACAATAATTTATAGCGTTTATACCCGTCTTCTTTTACTATTCCCAAGAATTAATTGATAGATATAATTAATTATTGCATAAATGTATTACTCGGTTCTCCAATACTGATATAATTAGCGAAATTCAAAAGAAAGATTCTGCGATTTGAAGCGGTTGTATTATAATATAACCATAATCTCTTTTTCAAAAATAACACTTTCAAGACAAATAGAAGAATATCGAGATATTGATCGTTTCTAAAATAAAGCAATTAAAAATGCAAAGTTTCATGAATTATATTTCAAGGACTGATAAGAGAAGATAACGAAATTTTATTTTTTATTTCAAGTGAACTTTAATCCAGTTTATCTATGTTCAGATTTAGCAAAGACAATTGGTTGCAATAAATGATAATGCTTATCAGCGTTCTTTCAAATGTAAACTTTTGACACGTTTCATACGCGGTACTGTCGTCTTGCATGAGTAATTTTGCGTATAATGTATTGTATAATATCTTTATTTTTCCGCGTTGTCATTTTTATATTCCATTGTACCTCGGCTCTTAGACTTCCCAAAGAGTTTAGGAAAACGCCGGCGTTTCTCGAGCAATTTTAATTACGCTCGTGCGCTCACGTAATAAGATGTCGTCTGTTTCCGCGCGCGCGGTTCCGTGCCACGATGCCATTTATGAAATACTTGCGCGGGTTTCCGTTTTTAAGCACGGTCAGCCGCAGCTGCAGCGACTACAACTGCAGTGGCCGCATACCGCGAACATTATTCAGGAAAGTAGCAAGCGTGGGAGGGTGGTACGGTCCGCCGTGACGTAATTTTCTGGTTTTCGCGTTTCGAGGAAGGGTGAATGCTGCACCGCGCCGCGACTTTTGCTTGTTGCTCAGGTGGGGTTGCTATCTCCCTTCCTGCGGCCGCGAACCGTGCGATTTATTCGGTCAGAGAGGAAAAGAATTTCGCGAGCGATGTTCGTGTTTCCCACGCACCGGTACTGTCTTACGTAAATCGTACTCTTTGCTTTCGTATTATATTTTAACAAGATAGTATTAATTTAAAGGAAATTGTTTATCTCTCATTGAAATGTGACTAAATTGACTAAAATAAGTGAGAATCATAAGCATTGGAGATCTGTACTATAAAAAATTTTATCGGCCTTTTTTTATAGATTGTATGAATTTTATAGGATATTTGATATTAATAGATTTGTTATGAATAAATTAATAAAAAGGAAATTCTTTTTTTAAATTTTAAGATCGCTTATTTTACTTTCAAAATAATTTATCTGCTAATTATCGACACATTTCCTGCACTGTAGATAATAGAAATAAAGAACCGACTTTAAGATCAACTTGAATTTTTTTCTTATTTTATAGTTTTGCAATGAAAACATTAAATTTACAATTAAATACAATTAAATAACAATTAAATAATCTGTAATTTTTAATTTTAATTTTATCATCTTTTTCCGACATATTTATATCATTTTCTTTTATATTAACGATGCATATTTCATTTCATGTGGACTCGATTTAACTTTTATGCTTGTACATTTTACATGCTCGCGTATCAAACCGATATTACACCAACTATCACAATCTATCGAGATCGTCCGTCGTTTTATCTATTTTGGAAATAATTGCACCAGGCATTACGGCGTAATTAATTGTTGCGGTGTAAACGTACTCCCGATAACGGGGCAGGGGTTGTAGTAGTAGGAGCGGGTTGCGGGAGGGTGTCCAAAAACGGGCGAGCAGCGTTTCAGAATGTCGATAAACATGTCCAACCCCGTTACCCGCCCAATCCTCTGCATTCCTGGCGTGTATTCGAGAGATGAAGGGCGAGAGAGAAGGAGAGAGAGAGAGAGAGAGAGAGAGAGAGAGAGAGAGAAGAGGGGCGACATGTGGAACGAAGAGTGGAAATTAAAAAAAACGACACGGATTGCACCCTCTCAATTAACCGAATTGATTTTCCGCTGCAAATTCAGCGCGCGCCCCGCACAAACGTGAACAACGGCCCGCACAGCGAAATGGACTTTTCGCGGGTAATCGATGTCATCCAACATTCATAAAAAATTACATTCTATCCGGTGAAATTCGCGCAACCGTTTTGTAAATCGACTTTACGCGCCGTTAATCTCTCCAATCCTGATGTTGCGTCCATTGCATTGCAAGGTATTTCGGATAAAAGTTAAGTAGTCTTCAATTAGACGAATAATAATGATTTTGGAACGAATTTTGTAACGTCGTATCGTTTTTTGTGAAATTCAAGAAAATTAAACATTGTATCCTAGGTTAGGTTGCTATGAGTTTGACAAAAATAAAAAAAATTAAAAATATATATTATGAAAATTGTGGTAGGAAGACCCCGAAAATTGTGAATAATTAATATGCATTATAACTTGATCGCATTTCCCAAATCTCTTTTAATATTAGCTCGTGAAAATTAAGATTATTTCATTTTAATATAATAGAATTATCAATAAAAGTACAGAAATTTTAATGGTGTTTACCGTACATTTCTATTTGCATTATTGTTATTCAATATTTTGTTAATTACAAAGAACTTTCTTTACCGGATTTGTCTATTAATTGTTTTGTACATAATAAATTTTATTAGCATGTTAACAAATAAAATTAGTTGCAGAAAGAGTTAGTTGCTTTTATACTAAAATCGTATAAAAGTAGATTGCTTATATAACGAATGATTGTATTATTTTTTTGCTTTATTAATTTTTTTATGTCATAATTATTGTTTAATTTAGTTGAGCTATTGCCGCCAATTCGTGCAGTAAAACAATTTATGATAATTAAATTCATTTATTAAAACATTGGGCGTTTTTTACTGAAATTTTTGTAGATTTATTTTTAATTTATATTATATATATGTATTTGCTCAACATCACCGTAATCGTTATAATATTCAATTTTTGAATTTAAGACAATTTTAACTTTTAAACATCATAAGTTTTAAATTAAAATTTTATTAAAGCAGAATTCATGTCAAATTAACTGAGGATTAACATTTTTATTATCTATTTGTAATTCCATGGTTCTCTCACCCAATCCGGGGTGAGTTTTCCATTTTCAACTATTTCCAAGTTAGGAATACACTATTGATGTATACACATCGACAATTTCATTAAACAAAATTCGCCTGCAAATTGATAGAAAAATCCGTTGGTAATAGGAACAGCGGCGTCGGCTTTTCGGGATACTCACCCTGCGTATTTCGAAGCGAACACGCGAGGGGCGTAAACAACGTCGAGAGCAAAATGTAACCCGTGATTTTCGGTCGCACCGTCGGCTAAATTCTTTATTGCTCGCATCGTTACGCGGGCGGCGCTTCATTCCGGTCGACCGGCACTCGTAGTGACTCCTCCATTACGGATTTATGAACGAAATTGAAAATCCCCGTGCTCTCGTGGGAACGAGAAAGAGGGTGAGAGAGAGAGAGAGAGAGAGAGAAGGAGACGAATAGGCGCGGGGGTGAATCGGTGTGGGACTGGATGATGGTGGTGGCGGTGGGCATGGCAATTTTCTGAACGTCACGGCAACGAACCACCTCTCGTTCGCCTCGTCAGCGATTTTCGGTCGGGCGCTGATTAAAACGACGGCTTTCCGATAAAAGCGCGCCGAATTCCCGCGAATTTCTGTTGCAACCGGACTCGCCGCCGCTGCTGTTGTTTCTGCAATCAACTGCACTGCGCGATCGCGATCGATTTCATCGCATGCGGTGCGACCCGCGATGAACGAGGAACCGGGGAAAAAAAATATCAGGGGGAGGTGAGATAGGGAGAAAAAAAGGGACGCTGGTAATCGCGCGCTCGGGAGCGGTAAATTGATTCGCATCATTGAGAATGTTACGAATTTATCCGCTGACTGTTGATTGATATCGCGAGTTCCAAATGTCTCGAATTTTTTGATTTTGTAAGCCACATTGCGTTTGTCCTTCCACGAAGTGAATAATTATAATTTTTTTTTAAATGCGCACTACGATTCATAGAAATATTGCGATTCAGAAATACTGAAAGATTGATCTATGTATAAATTTTTGTATTAAACATTTTCAATTTTGTTTTAACTGTATATACATATTTCATTATTCAGTATTTTATATTTTTACAAGACGTGTATCTATATTAATTATTTTGTAAAAATTAATTCTTTTTGAAGTTTGAACAGTTTGAACAGTTTGAACAATTTGAAGTCGATTTATCTTAATCTTAATCAATTTGTTAAAGTACCAATAACGTTTTTGACTTTAATTCAAATTCTGCTTTTTTAGAATAATATATGAATATTCACAGTTCAATTATACAGACGAAGAAAATATAAATTTGTAAAGATACGAATATTAAGAAATTTAGTTTTTATCGAAATATTTTCGAAAGAGGAATTTGTTCTGAGTTAAAAGATTGATGTTCAAAGATCGCTCCTGAGACATGTATTAACGCATTCAGAGAAAAAGACAGACATAATGGTGACAACAAAATACAAGTATTAAATGTAAAATTAATATATACATTTATATATAGTTGAATAAACTATTTTATAGTTATTACAACTAAAATTAAATGATAAGGAAAACAAATTTTACATATAAAACTTGTATAGTTGTTTCCTATATATTCTAGTTCTCACCACTATGAAAAATGTTTCTTTTTTCTCCGAGTGCGCATCTGTGTTAATGTATCACTCTAAAATCTATCTAGTCTCGAGTTCTCGTCGTAGTCTAGAAAAGGGATCGTATATTAATAATATGGTACCATATCGTCTGGCATTGCGTGATAATCGGTCTGGAAATTTGTCAGGATCATGCCGCCAAGGAGAAGGCGCTCCAGACAATGTCAAGCATGTCAAGCGCCCAAATAGTATCAGCTGGAAGCGCGATACACAACAAGATGCCCCTCATGGGCGGGACCCTTGCCCTTCATGCTTCCACCCCTGTCTCCTATCCCGGAGCGGTAAGTCCTGATCTCGGAGAACCCCTTGAGACATTTTTTTATCGGTCTTTCTCTTCAAAAGAGCCACGAGCTTTAGGGTGAGACGACTCTGTAAAATGCGGATTAATTAAGTTAATCACTGCACTGGTGATTTCGCATGACGAATCGCTTTTAAGTAAAACAAGCGGCCTCAATCTCTCTCGCTTTTATAATCATTGCATTGACTCTTAAATTGTGAATTTTCTTCGTTCAATTTTTACATATAAAGCGCTGTACCCCTTATTGTTATCAAAGATCGATTTTACCTACCTAAATTCTTAGTGAAACTTTCCAGGCAAATCTTGAAGACAACTTTTAGAATAGTTTATTTTCAAAAAATATATATGAATTTTTTCTTTAAACGGAGTCAAATTTCAGGCGATGAAAGAATTTGTACAAACGATAAATGTTGGTTGTTTAAATGTAAAGGGTAAATAAAATTTTTGTGTGCGACACTAGTGACTATTATATAATGTAATTTTAAAACGAAATAATAATCCATTTCCGATTTATATTGATTTATATGATGTCATCCATATAACATCGATAGATAGATTGAAAGCCTCGCAGGAGAAACATAAAATATTCGTCTTTGATGAATTTTATTTTTATTATCAGCATTGCCGATTTGACCTCTTCTTTTGAAGTTTGTGACTGTTTTCAAGCGCTTTGCTCGATAACCGCTAATCCGCCTATCGAAGGCAATGCCCGTGGTTTGTCGACTGACCTATAAATTTTTTTGTGTCTTACGAGAGTTTGAGATAATACCGTGTAATTAAAATGTCATGCCAGAGATATTACGAAGGCACTAACTTAACAACATTGCACTTAAAAACAATGTGCATTCGCAATTAATAAGTTGTTTGATCTCAGTAAAAATATTCAGCCTTAGCTTTTGCAACAATGTAATATTAATTTGAATTATAATATACTATATTTTAATTTTAATTTCTGTGACCATTGTTGAATATATCGAAGATACATTTGATGTTGAAACAAAATGCCTGCGAACAATGACAATTATGTTCAAAATTAAAAAAAAATAGCTTTCGTATCTTTAGATTGATACTTAACTGTGTTGCTTGAAAAAGGTAATCTGTAATAGCTACCAAATGTTAAGTGAAATAATGCCAATCAAACGTTCGATTAATATAACCAAAAATAATTTTGCTTTCCTAAATATTTAATAAGTATTACCAAACATAATAATATAACCAACTGTTTGATAATTCTCATTAAATATTTAATAAAGTAAAATTTTTATATTAACCGAACATTTGATTGGCATTATTTCATTCAACATTTGATAGCTATTACTAAACTTTTTTGTGTATCCTGAGTTTTGTATAAAAAAGGAAAGGGGGAAAAATAATATTAACTAATTAAAGACGGTGAATAGATATTCCCTTTGTTTCTTTAACTAGGTTTTCCGCTTTTTTTGCTGTCATGTTTTGTTCTTTTGTGCTCTTTTTCGCATCTAATTATAAAACAAGAATGAGGAAAATAGCAAGAGAAAGTTGTTTCCGTGATCAATCGTGTACTTTCTTTTCTTCATGGCGCGAAAGCTTTTGCGTTGAAAACTAACCATCCCTCGCAAAAGTGACATCTCCCCTGGCTCTCTGCTGCTGCGCTGCCCCTGGGGGCCCTTGTTGTGTATTGTTGAATTTGTCCATCGCTCTAATCTTGTACATATGTATTCCTAGGCATTACATACGACACACATACATACAAATTAAGTGTGTATGCGTTACATTTGACATATCTGCATAATAAAAAATGTTCGTTGTGGCTTATCAAACTGTCTTTCTTTCTCTTTATGTAATAATACGATCATTAGCTTTTTGTCGTTATTGTTATTGTTGTTCTCTTTTACTTATTCATTGTTTCTTATCGCTCGTTCCTCGCCCGACGGCTCGATGGCTTTTACGGAAACTTTTTTTATTGAAACAGTTGTAGTATTATATAAAGGTTTACGTAATGCAATCAATTATTCGAAAAGATTCTGAAAATGCAGGTTAAAAATTTTGTCCATAGTTTAAGAGAAACGGATTAATTTTTTTGCTTAAATGTATCAATTTTCAATTTATTTCCTTTGTATTTACCAGTTGTACGATTTTAATAAAATCGTGTTGTTATGCAAATTTGACTATTATTTGACTATTCAGGAACTAATGCATCAATTATTCATTAAATAGCAATGAATTAGCCATTATTAATAAACATCAGGCGCGTGGAAATCGACTAATCATTAATTGTTAATGTGAGAGTATCACCATTAGATACAAATTCGTGCTATACTTTCAGCAATTTTGGCAGCCAGGCCTGCAACCAGGAACGTCCCAGGATGTCAAACCCTTCCCTCAGCCCGCTTACACAGGAAAACCTGCGACAGCGGTCTCGAGCGGTGATTTGGTCCAAGCGCAGCCTGCACCACCATGGGAAGGACGTGCTATCGCGACTCACAAGCTCAGGCTTGTCGAGTTTTCGGCCTATATGGAACAACAAAGAGAACAGGAGCTTGTAAGTAGCATCGTAATTTATTAATTAAAAAGATTTCAAGATAATTTAAATGTACATTGCTTTTTACAAAAAAATACTGCAAGTGTCGTATACCTTTGAGAAATTTTTTTCAAGGGGATAAAATCTATGTTTATATTTTATTAGTGTCTAATAAAAAAATGTGAAAAATTCTCGAAAACGTAACTTAAGTATATTTTAAATACTTATAATATTATAACTTTTAAGATATATATTTAAAGCATTATTATATATAGATAATGATTCTTTACTTAATCTCAAATAGTAAGTAGAAATTAAAAATTGTCGCATTAATATAATTGAGATTGTTGATTATATCGATATAGCTTGATTTATAATCACGAAAGATTTTAACATGGCAAAAATAATTTTGTAAATATCGTGTCTGAATAATCGGCTGTTAATGATGAGGCTGAGACAGCAAAAAACGGATAAGTTGATAGAACATCGAAAGATTAATTTTCTCAGATAAATAAAGATAATATGTAATAATCGAAGCACGTTCATGAATATATTTGTTTACGTATATATTTATGTGAATTTATTTTTTTTTTTAGTACCATAAACACCTGTTCGTCCATATAGGAGGTTCCGCGACATACGCCGATCCGCTATTGGAAGCGGTCGATGTTAAACAGATATATGACAAATTCCCGGAAAAGAAGGGCGGTCTTAAAGAACTTTACGATAAAGGACCGCAAGCGGCTTTCTTCCTCGTTAAGTTTTGGGCTGATCTCAATAGTAACATCCAAGACGAAAGTGGAGTATTCTACGGCGTCACGAGCCAGTGAGTAACGTCAGCTTCTTGGTTACTCAACTCTAGTTTGATATAATATGTATACTAAATTTTGTATTAACAGGTACGAGAGCAACGAGAACATGACGATAACATGTTCGACGAAGGTATGCTCTTTCGGAAAGCAGGTAGTAGAGAAGGTAGAGACGGAGTATGCCAGGTTTGAGAATGGCAGGTTCGTTTACCGTATTAGCCGTTCACCTATGTGCGAATATATGATTAATTTCATTCACAAACTGAAGCACCTGCCAGAGAAGTACATGATGAATAGCGTTCTCGAAAATTTCACCATCCTTCAGGTACGTTGATATCATATGTGTCAATTTTTATGTATTCTATAAATAATTCTTTATGTTCTTGAATAGAAACTTAAAAATCGTTTCAAATACCTAGTCGGCTTCAAATTTATTTATTTAAAAAAAAATTATATTTAGGGTTTATCCCATCAATTTTAAACTTTTGTCTTGATTTCATGATTATATTACAAAATTCTATTAGAATATTGATATTATTGTATTTTTTTTTGTATGAACAAAAAATTAGTTACAAATAATTTGTGCTATAAATGTTATAGAGATATATATTTTCTTACTTTTGCTTTTTCTCTTTTCAGGTTGTCACGAACAGGGATACGCAGGAAACGTTATTGTGTACGGCATATGTGTTCGAGGTATCGGCATCTGAACACGGTGCTCAGCATCACATATACAGATTGATCCAATCCATGGACTAGCCTGCTTGAACCTGCTCGCCATGCAGCCATCCACCCCCATCAGTGCCTACCATCACATAAAGATCATCCATACACATATACACATATGATTATATTGTGAAAATACAATATATGCATACAGCAGAGTTCCTCTATTCTAAAGTTATTGGAGTCAAGTAATGTCGAGCATTTCTTCTAATCTTCCCTTTACTTCTTATTCTTATTCCAAATGACACGAACAGATTGGAAATGTTATTGCACAGTATACTTTGTCCTCACTGTATTATTGTGTCGAATATGACATTGACAAAATGGAGAAACAGTAAGCAATAGCGTAAAAAGAGAAATTTAGTTTAGAGGAATTCAGCTAATTTAGAATAGAAGAATACTTAGAATAGAGGAATTTGATTGTGCGATATGATGCGTGAATATGTGAGTGTAAACATGCTTACACTTATACAAAAATATTTTCGCGTCCATAGGAGAGTTTCGATGGAAAATATTCGGTCGATGACATAAAAATTATGGAAAATCATCCTATAAACAGATGTAAATACTGAGTAAATAATAGATGTTATAATAAAACATCCTCTATATACAATTATTATAATATTGCATTGCATATTTTTTCTTTTTTTTTTTGCAAATTTTTGTATGCGAATTTTTTCTTATATAACATGCTAATTTTATAAATTTGAAAATTTGATAAAGAATACTTTTTCTCATTTTAAAGAATTAGTTGTAGAAAAATTTAGAAAATAAAAGAAACAAGTTGCGCGATATTTCAAGAACCGGCTGTGCATGCTAAGAAATTAAATTAAAGATGAAAAATTCTAAGTATTGTATAATAAATATTATAAATATCCCAAAAAGTTTAATTTCTATCCTCGAACTCGAGTGTTTTGTAACGTAAAATAAAATAAATGAAATATGTTGCGAACGTTTTCCGTGAAACTCCTTAATAAGGACTCTACACACATATGTACACACATATAATAGAGTACTGGCCAGCCCGAGCTTGAGTTTGATTCAAAGTTCATACTTTCAGTAATTTAATTGATTTAATTACACTTTATTGATCTTGAATTAATATATAAAAATTTGACGTGATATTAAGAAGAAATTTTTACATTATCCCGAACAATGTCTTTAAAATATCATACAGTTCTAAATTTTATAATAAAATAGGAATTAAAAAGTTTTTCATATATATATTTTATGATCATTATCATCGTCCTATTTAATCGACGTCTCAATAAATCCGTCGATTAATCTTAAAGAGGATCGATTTTAATAAGAGAGACTATATTATAATAAATTAATTTAAAATTGACAATAAATTTTGGTATAAAACTGCATAGAAAGATATAATTATGCAACAAAAATAAAAAAAAAAGAGAAAATGGAAACAGACTCTGATCTCGGAAAGGCATGGTACCTCAATATTTGATTTAGTATTATAGTTTTATTAAATTAGACGATATATTATAGAGACTCGAGACAAGAAACATCCACACACAGATATACATATATTATGTATAAGAATATATATGTTAAATATTAATGCAATGATTACGATTTACATTGTTATAAATGATCGTGTATAAAGTTATCTAAGTGATTTCTAAGTTTTAAAAGAAATGAAGTTTGACCGAGAGATATGCCATTATGATTTTTTTATGTAATATGAAATACAATATTATATATTGTTTTAATTATCAGAACTATAAGTAAGACACAGAAGAAAAATGAAATATTGAACATTAACATGCGTTTCTTTAAGCTTTGTCACAGAACTGCTTTTCGCATCATGAAAAATTCTTATCAATGAGAATCTTGCTACAGCGATCAATCTGCAATTGTCCATTGGAAAAAAAGAATGATTATTTATATATATTTTTCAAATTTAATCTTAAAACGCATTTGTTAATGTGGAAATTCTGATTAGGCAATGACACTTAGGTTAAAGGGATGTGTTTGTATTTCTCATAATAATCACTTTACTTTGTATTCTAAGATCATTTTCTATAGTATTTCTTACTGATGAATGATTTTCCTTACTTAGCGTACTTTGTTTGTTTTTATCTTTCTCTACAATTACAAAGCGATATACCAGATCGATATACATCGATTATACAGATGGAAGGCCACCATCATAAGTTATAGTTATGTGATAGGGACTTCGATTACTCTAAAAATCTAATCTTGGCATTTTTCGATTAGGAGTGTATTGAAATCGATCTTGAAAAAAAATATAACAAAACATACGGCGATTTCATAGTGACATGGAGCGTCGATATTCAAATTATGGTACATCGTTCGATCTGATTTCAATACCGCTCTCCAAATCTCTGTAAGTTAAAAGTATTTTTCAAAGCACTGATATAAGGGGATACAATAGCCCGTTGCAAAAAAACGTTTCGTACTTAATAATATTATTTACATATTACACAAACATGGACCATAGAGAATGCATACAGAGATTTTTCATGAACTTAGTAGCAATTGTTTAAACGAGTAGAGGACCATATCTTGCAGTTGACTTTATTTAATCACATCTCATATATATATATTTATATATATATATATATGTAATGTGTAATTGCGCACAGAAAGTTTTTACTTATTTTTTAATTCAATCTATTGTGTGTTCCCGAAACAGGACTTGCCTATCGAGGAATAAATAGTAACATAAGCAAGAAAAAAGGTCGTGTATATTTTAATAAGATAATATTATTTACTGTATTCTTACTTTAATTAACTTTTACGGAACAAGTGGCAATGTATTTTGATCTCTTTTAGTCAGAAATGTCGCTTTTTATTTGGGGTGAGAAGTGAATTTACTACATGGGTTGACTGGAGTAGAAAGGAATTTATGTTTAATCGATATGTGAATGTGTTTTTTTAACTGGCAGCTTTTATATGTTTTACTCATTGTTACCGTTTTTTCTTTTTTTTCCCCTTTTTTTCTTTTTTTTTCATATAAGCTCAGTATCTATTTGAAAGTAATTCTCGGAAGTAAGAGAGTTAAAAAATAAAAGAAAATATAGAAGAAAATAAAACTTAATAATTCTTAATAATATATCCATTTGTAAGTATGATCTTCAAAAATGATTCGTAGCAGTATTTCTTTCAAATGGATGCTAGCCAGTAGTAATTCCTTCATCGTTTTTTATTACTTATATCTTTCGTCAATATGTAAATTGTGATTTAGCAAAATCGTTTACACATTAAACTGAAATTGTAACCACGACTATGCTACATATAAATAAGTTTTTTGCAATACGTTGCTTGTTAATAACTATCAAAAACAAAGTTTTTTTATTTTGCATTTGCAGTAATTTTAATAAATATAACATGTAATGTTTTCATAATACATATTTAATTATAATTACATGTATAATGAACAAGGTAACGTCTCGTGGTTACATATCGAATTGCTTAGTAATACATTATTGTTTCTAAAAAAATTCCGCAATATTTTTGAAAGATACTCACAGGAATTCGGTTCAATCGTGTAGATTTTTATTTTATATGGAAATTTGAAAACAGGTAGAACGAGTATGAAATTGAGAAAAAGGAGCACCGACACTAATATTATTGACATTTACGCGTAATGATTTTAAAGTAAGCGAATTACATTTATAAGAAAAGATTATAAAAATATATATTTATCTATGTCTTCTGTGAAGATAGAAAATAGTACTCTCTCACTCTATATTGATGATATCGAAAATCGAGGTCCGATAAAAAGATACAAAATGCAGAAGTAGACTAAGGAAAAGAAAAAAAGAAACAACTTGCACTGTACACAATAACATACGATACGATCAATCGATTGACTCAGATTTGTTAAATATCTTTGTATATATTTACATGAAGACCATGAGAAATTGTTCAAGTTCCAGCAGCTACATTTTTGTAATAAGTACTCCCGTGAGAAGAGAGAAACTGTTTTGCTTACAACTCGTTATGAATCCAGTTCCACATTTCGAAATTAAAGTTAAAAAATGCAAAAATATTCTTAATATTTTCATAGAGACTTATTAGTTTTTTACAGGTACAGTACTTTGATACAAGAATAGATGTTTAATATTTCTTTATTAACTTAGTTATTTTTGTTTATCTATGTTAGTAACTATATTGCTAAATAATTGTATGTAAATTATGTATTTGCTGAAAAAAATTGAGAAATGAAACAATTACTTATGAATTATTCATATATTTTATTTAATATAAATATTTCAATATATTTTAATATATTACTCTTTGTATTTATAAACAGTTAGATACATAGATGAGTAATTAAAATATATTTATGAAACAGAGTATTTTTTAATTATACTTTAAACTTTAAATCGTATATTTATCTCTAATGTAATTAAATCGAATTTTATCTCTATGAAAGTATTGACTACGCCTATTCGACCGTTAATTCGATAAACTTTCGAAAATATTTGCATCCCTTAAAAATTCTATTTATTCATATCCTGGAACTGCCATATCAAAGAATTGAGCTTGATTGTAAAAACGACTAAAAAAGATTCATCGGAGAAAAAGAAAACAAAAGGATCTACCTGTATATTATTATCATAAATGAAACGAAATGAGGATCAAAGTAGTTGTTTTAACGAGTAAATGAAAAAAATAAATAAAATGATATATCATTAAATTAGAGGTTTAAAAATATAATAGAACTCAGTATATGTACAGTATTTGAAAAACATGTTTATAATTTGTATGGAGAAAATAAATGATTGATATAAAAAAAGGGACTGTTTTTATTCTTTACCGTATGTCACTCTTCTGAACATATTTTAGGTAAAGTTTTTCTCACAAAATATTTTTATATAGTTTGTTATTGCAAACAACAGATACAATTTATAGATGATTGGTACATATAAAATGTAAATATTTCATTGTATATGTACCAGTCATTGTTTTTTGAGAATCGGCTGGTACAATGAAATAAAAAAGAAATCAATTTTTTTTTTAAATAATACTACAAAAATATGTATTTGTTTAATTCTCTGTTCTTCCTTTGTGTCTGACTCTAATCTTAAGCGAGCACAACCACTGTTTTTTGCGAATCGGCTGAAGTAAAAGAGTCGAGATTAGAGCAAATAATTAGCAAAAAATAGCAATTAATTTTTGTGTAAGTCGCATTTGATTGTGTTAAAGTGGCAGCTTAATACGTTAATTGTCAATTCATCGCTGCTGACTTATTTACACGAGCGACAGTCAAAGTCAGCAATATACGAAATCACATGACTCATTTGTTGTTGAATACGAGCGACGAGCGACACCATGAACTCTCTTCAACTTTCCATTTTTTGAATAAAAAATAAGACATATGTATAGTCATGTTTTTACAACACTTACTATTAATAAAATGCATTAATAAAAATATACAAATTATATCTATTACAGAAAAATGTAAAAATAGTTTTAACTTTTCAAGCTGTTCTCTTTTGATCGAATGTAATTACAATAGAACTTTTGATTAAATAAAAAATTTTTCTATACAAATTATACATTTTTAATTAATTTTTGAAAAATTCAAATAAAATTTGATAAAAACGGATCAAGAGGCCCTCCACCACCTTCGCCGATTT